GCATTTTGCAGACCCGGCCTGTTTTAATAGAAGCCATGACCTATCGGTTAGTTCTTTTTTCTACTGACACTCATGCACTATCTACTGTTGTGCATATTCTCATTCCTTAGTTTCCTAAACTTTATATTTGTGAATATATGAAGACCAAGATGTTGTGGCCTCTGGTGTGGTGTGGGTTGTGGTTTTTTCATATCAGTTATATCCTTCGTAGCCATTGACGGTGCTGCAATAGTATTTATACCCCTTAAATAAACGCTTTTTCGTTTTTTATCTGGTCATTCATTTTATTTTTTTAATATTTGTAGTAAACAAATAAATCTTGAGCTGTATCCCTTCATTAAATTTTTACTTTACATCTTTCTTTACTTTTAACTTGATAAAAATTTCCTCGAATGCTTAGTGACCACGTTTAATCAACATTCATTATTCTCATATCTGCCAGTCTTCATTATATTTTTTTCCTAATCTCGTTCCTCATAATTTTGTCTGTGAAGTTCAACATATTCAAGGTCTATCTATAGGTCAGGAATCCTGCATCTCTGGGACATATATCCTATAACTTCAATATCTATAATTCGTTCAGTCTATGTACCTGCTCAGCCTAGACCTAATTTATTCTTTCTTAGCTAGTTCAAATTGTCATACTAAATCATCTTTATACGCATACAATTCTACCTCTCTTTCCCCTTCAACATAAATTATATTCGGCCTTTACGACTGGATCAAAACAGTATGGCCTCAGAAACTAAGTGAAAAAGATTTTGGAAAGCCATTATTAGCTTTTTGTGTTTTACATAGCTGGTAAGTTCTATTTTACTGCTCGACTCTTGGTCTAACCTCTGATTTACATGCCCTGTCCCCCTTTCAGCAATAAATTTTCCTTTATGCAATAGCCCATCGCTACCACCAAATTCGTTGTGATATTAGTGGATCTTTTACCCTAGTATCCTTACGAAGTCCATACTTCTTGCCCAGAATCATTACCTGAAATCGTAGTTGTAACAATCGGCATCACGCGATCCTCAATTAAGTAGCTTTCCGTTCCTACTGACAATTTGCTTGTACTTACCTGCTCAACTTTTAGATAAGCCTGCATTGTCCAATGGATTTCATTATGTGCCGTTCGCTTGTTTCAATTTTGATAAAATAATTTATTAACGGACGCAAGTTTATTATACTACTATGCAGGCCTGATTAACCATATTTTTAATTTTTTTTATACGCTATATTGTTTATACTTATCATAATTTTATATATGAAGACCAATAGGCTTTGGCCTTTCGTTCAATCTCACTTTTTTCATTTATGTTGGTTGGTGTGAGTGAAGAACGTCCACCGTTCTCATTTTCCCGTCTTTGCCGATTTTCCGAAATCGGACTGTTTACTGGATATATCTTGACATCTTGTTAGAAGTGTTAACAGCGATCTCATTAGCCAGAAGCTGCAACCTCAATCAATGACATTTCTCTTAAATTCTTCAATCTTCCTGGAACCATGAATAGGTTGTAAGACGTGGTTAAACTGACTATTTTGCAGTAATTTTTAGTATAATTACCTTGTTAATTTTCTTTTCTTCAATAAGACGCATTGCTACCATAACTGGTTTGCCTGTCTGTTGCATTCTCCCCATCTTTAACTCTAGGGTCGGACATCACAGCACCAGCGATGACAGTTCTGCGTATAGGTCGATTGATGAAGTACAATTTTGGGAGAAAGAAGATAATCCGATTCTCCGACTAAAAAAATATCTGATTGCGAAGGGCTGGTGGTCGGATGAAGAGGAGCAGAGCTGGTTGGCAAACATTCGGAAAGAGGTAATTATTAGATTTTATTAAGCTAGTATTTCGTAGCAGGTGGCAGTCACTGATATGACAAATGATGTTTGATATCCAAGCCACTAAGGAACTTAATGGAAAAGGATTTGTTGAATCAGATTTATCTTTTTTCTAGTTTACATTCAAATCCTCAAGGAGGATTTTTCTCCTTAGTATCATTGTATTATAGTGAAAGTTAAACAAAATATAATTTTATATCGTAATAAATGAAGTTTTTTCATATTGTTTTGTATTCCATTTATGCTTGGGCTTATAATTATTTTCTGGATCAAGTCGGCTCGGTAGAACCTTGGTGCCTTATTGTGTACAGAGGAATGCGCAAAAGG